TTTTACAGAGGGAAAAACTAAGACCAGGGAAGCCCAGTGCAGACCCAGGCCAGCTGGCAGAATGGGAGAAGCCAGCCCTGTGGACATGATCTCCTGCACAGCCCCTTTCCCTTTGGGGGCCCAGTGAGGCCCCTTTCCTCACCCCCAGTGGGACCAGCTGACTGTCTCCCACATTTTGGGGTAAACTGTGTTATACTCTATCTCACTGTCTCATAGCAGGGGGCTTCACCTCCCCAGGGAGAAAACAGATCTGTAGAGGACAGAAATCGTGTCCTGAACTGGGATGTTCTGGCCTCTTTTTCATACTTATATGTATTTCCCCTAAAATTACCACTTTCATAGTCAGAAAAATATACACACACACTTTTTTTTTTTCCCTAAGAGAATGATTTGACTTTAAGAATGGCAAAAGTCTAAGGGAATGTGCCCTGGTTGGCTGGCATTGGGAGCAGTCTTGGTTATCAGGAGCCTGAGGCATAAAATTAGCAGGGACATGTAGGCCTGGGACTTGACCCTCTTCACACAGAGTGATCTGGTGTTTGACTCTGTTCTTATCTCTCTCCTCTCCCTGGACATGTGCACACATGTGCATGCACACATGCACATCACACACACTTGTATATGCACACATGTGCACACACACACACACTTGTACCAGCTCTACTCATGGTCACTCTCCTAGCCTCCTTGAAGAATTCCTGTAAAGTTTCTTATACCAGGACTATGGCATTGCTGGAGCACAGAAGGAAAAGGAAAAATGACTAAAGACTCTTGTCCTAAAGGTGGACTCATCTTTTCTTGAATCCCAGAGGCTAAAAAATGAAATTTTAAACAGGCATGGGACACCAAGTGGGTACACTCCTTAGATCAGAAGGGCAGTATTTGCACAGGGAGATAGCTCAGAGGGCAGGAATGCATAGGATAGAAGGACACAGGGAAAAGGAAACCACAGAGAGGAAGTGAGAAGAGAACTCTTACATTATGGAAATTGCAAACAATGTCATGAAACTAAATGTGTAAGAACTGTGGTCTGGAAAATGAATTTGCTCTGTAAACTTTCACCCAGATCTCTCTCTCTCTCTCTCACACACACACACACACACACACTCACACTCACACACAAAGGCATGGGAGCAGCAATCTTTAGGCGTTTCACAAAGCAGCCCTTTGGTCCTCTGCCAGGTTTCAAAGTCTCTCTGTGCACCAATAGCCCTGCCTCCCAACAGGTAAAAACAAAGGGGAAACATGGTACCATTAGCAGTGCCACTGGTGGCATAGTGCCTAAGGCATTTGACTGCTAACCAGAAGGCTGGTGGTTCAAACCCACCAGCTACTCCTCAGAAGGAAGATTGGGCAATCTACTTCCATAGAGATACCGCCTCGGTAACCCAAGGAGGGGTCATTATGAGTCAAATCAACTCATGGCAGTGAGTTTTCTGGTGAGTACCGGGAGAAAGTCAACTCTGCTCCCATAAGACATTGTGCTGGCTGCTCTTGGAAAGGGAGAAGGCTACTCCTGAAAGCCCGCTCCCTACAAGCCTTGGCCCAAGCTTCCACAGCCCTGTTTCTGTCCTTGGTCCTTTTCCTGTTCTGATGTCATTGGAATTGCCTATAAATTCTGCTGTTTCATCTCTTCTACTAGACAGGGCACACTCTGAGAACAGAGAAGTAGAGCAGAGGACAGTGAGTCAGTTTTCTCTGTAAAATGGAAATAACGGATAATAAACCCAGTCCTTCATACCTCCCTGAATCTAAATATCCACCCAGACAGGGAAGGATAGTGGCTAACAACCACAGGGGTTTGGAACCAGACAGCTGGGTTCAAATTCCACACGAGTATTATTATGTTTTCTTGCGCAAGTTCCTTAACCTCGCTGAGCCCCAGTTCTCTCTTCTGAAAGACAAGAATAATAACAGCATGTTGTACATGGGGTTGCCATGAATCAAGTGCTAACTTGACAGCAACTAACAACAAACCATTCTATCAGGGGTGCAGTAGTTAAGGTTATATGTCAACTTGGCTAGACCAAACAATCTCTACTGTGGGGTTTTACAACCCTGTTTTAAGAGCTGGTATGAATGATTCATTACATTTTACTTTACTGAAGGGTATAAAGATCAAAGCTTATTGGTGGTTACCAGGGGGTGGGTGAGAAGGAGGGGAAAAGGAAGACTCAATGCTTAGTGGACACTGAACTTCTATTAAGGGAGCTGGATAATTCTGGGAAAAGATAAGGGTGATGGTTGAACAACATGATGAATGTCATTGATGTCACGACCTGTACATGTGAAGGCTGTAGAAATGGCAAGTATTTTGTTACCAAGGTATTAACCACAATGGAAAATTTTTAAAAAAATGTAAATCACTTGTTTACAGGACCTCGGTAACTCTGCCGTCTGCAGTGAGGAAGTTCTAGGGGTGAAGCAGGAGGACTGTGCTGAGGGGAAGGTGGGGCTGGGGCAGCTGAGCTTCTAAATATATATTTCTTTTAGCATGTGCAGAAGCACTCATTTCCATGTGTTTAATTTAACAGTGTGATCTGTCCCCTTAGAATTTCCATATTTAAGAAAATAGATTTCTACAAAAAAGAGAGAAATAATAGAGAAGAAGGGCTACAAAACAGAGAAATGGCCCAAATGAAATATAAAGAGAAGTTTCTGAATTTCTCAGGTTCACAGTCCAGTCCTTCCCTGAGCTAAGGGTGGGCGGCAGAAGTAACCCTTGTTTCCACAGAGTGGGTGTGGTTGTCTTTCCTCCCCAGCTCTCTTGGAAGCACAGACTAAACTATCCCTTCTCCACACAGAAACCACTTACTGTCAATTTCATTTTATCCCTCCGTTAGCCTTAGATCCTTGCTAAGATGCCTGGCTCCAGGTTGTCAAGACATGCACCTTGGGTGTCTTAAAATACTGAAACTGGACCAAAGAAATATACAACACAGGACTGACAAAGGAATACCAAAACCAAACCCACTCCCACTGAGTTGTTTCTGATTCATAGTGACCCTGCAGGACAGAGTAGAACTGCCCCATAGGGTTTCTAAGGATGTAAATCTTTACAGAAGCAGACTGCCCCCATCTCTATCCCACAGAGCAGATGGTGGGTTTGAACTACTGACTTTTTGGTTAGGAGCCTGATGTTTTAACCATAGCACCATGAGAGCTCCACACAGAAATACATGAACCCCAAATTGTTCCTGGTCTGGCGTACAACTTCTAACTCAAAACACAGCTCAGTAACTGGTTGTGCTCCAGAATCTAGAGAGAGAGAAAGATGAAGGTGACCCAGGCAATATTCCTAAAAACTCACACAGAACCTGGCGAGGGGGACCCCTGTAGGAAAGGCCCAGAGGTCCTGGAAGGGCTAACAGTCTACGGCCAGGGGAGTGTGCAGGTGAAGGCAAGGGAAGCACCCAAGGGTGAAGCAGGGGGTGAAGGGTCTGGAACATCCTACTAAGGAATCTTGACTTTATTCCACAGATCGATGGCTTTTGGTCTTTCAGATTTCAGAGTCTAGTAGAAGTTCAACAAATTTCCGGGACTTCCTTAGGATGGCAAATCGTTTATTTTGCCAAATAAGGACACTAAAACCAAATCCAAAACCTCCACAGCAATCAGCATTGATTTACCATCATTTTGCCAAAGGGCATTCTAGCACCAAAAAGGTAGGAAGGACACAGATTCAGAAAGAAAGACAGTCCTTCCTCCCCAAAACACAACTGTGACTGCTGCTGCCATACAAATGCTCACCGTATTGTCCTTGCTGCTTTCATTTTTCCACATATACACAAAAAACTCACTGCCCTTGAGTCGATCCTGACTCATAGCAACCTCTCCTTGGTTTCTGAGGTGGTATCTCTACAGAAGTAGATTGCCCAGTCTTCTTTCCAAGGAGTGGCTGGTGGGTTTGAACGGCCAGCCTTCTGGTTAGCAAAACTTCCTCACAGAACAGGATTGTAAGCCACAGCTGTGGGGCTGAGAGTGACAAGACAGCTTCAACCTGAGCGCTATACCCATTTGTGGTATCCCAGATGGGAAATGTGTTTTGTTCACTGATCCAAAAATACAAAATGAGGTGAAGCTGAAGAAAATGCCAGGCATGTTACCCACCTCAGGGTTCACCAGTATGCAAACCCACTAGCACAACAGTATGTAGCTAAGGTTTCTCAGGGTGTGTGATGTAGGGGTTGAACTGTATCCCCAAAAAAGGTATGTAAAGACCTAACTCTCACTCAATACCTGTGAATATGACCTTATTTGGAAACAGGGTCTTTGTAGATGTAGTCAAGTTAAGATTATTAGAGGGGCCCTAATCCAATGTGATTAGTGTCCTTATAAGAAGAAGACATAGAGATAGACATACAGAGAGAACACCACATGACAACAGAGTCAGAGGCTAGAGTGATGCTGCCACAAGCCCAGGAGTGCCAAGGTGTGCCAGCAACATTGACAGTTAAGAAAGAGGAATGGAACATATTCTTCCTCAAAGCCTCCAGTAGGAACAAACTCTGCCAGCACCTTGATTTTAGACATTAAGCCTCCAGAACTGTGAGATAATAAGTTTCTGTTGTTTTAAGCCAACTAGTTTGTATACTTTGTTACAGCAGCCCTTGGAAACTAATACAAGGGGGAAAAGCTTCCATGGTCAGATGGGTGTGGGAAACAGATTTTTCAAAAGCATATTATTCACTCATTTATGTCTGCAGGGCTTAAACATGTATGTAATTCTTCAAGACCAGATTCACTATGCAGTGTCTCCCAGATGGATTTGACTGTGGAAACCTCCTCTAAGTACCGACATAGCTCAGGAATTGCGTCGGGCACACAGCGTGCTCCCCTGATATTTAGTCATTATTTAGCAAGTGCAGCCTCTCTGGATGGGTCTCAGGGATGACAGGACTGAGGTTAGCATAGAACAGCAGTGCAAGCACAAAGGGGCACTGGCAAGTGTTGGCAAGCGGGGACACCATGCACCCACCCGGCAGGCAGCAGCCGTGTACCTCAAGGTCAGAGTTGATGGAGGAGACCTCTGAAGAGCTGCTGGAAGACACGCGGGCCCGGATGACCTGAATGGGAGGGTAGGAAGGGGGCTCCTGCAGGGAGGTGTCGCCAGTGCTCGTCTGTCCATCACCAGGCAGCCTGGTGGCACTGCAGCTGGCCTGCAAGGCGTGTGGAAAGGACAAAGAGAGACAATTAGTTCATTTCTTTATTTCTGAATGGTCAAACATTTACATATCTCAATATTCAAAAAATGCAAAAGGGTCTACAGTGTGACGTCTCCCTCCACCTTCATCTCTCAGTCGCCAAATCCTCCCCCCCTCAGAGGCAACCAGTGCTATCAGCTTCTTGTGTATCCTTCTGGACATTCTATACATATCTAACACACACACACACACACACACACACACACACTTATATACATAAAGCCACCACCAGTTGCCAACAAGTTGACTTTGACTCATTGCAACCCCATGAGTGTCAGAGAACTGTGCTTCCTAGGTTTTTCAATGGCTGATTGTTGTTTGTTTTTATAACTTTTTATTGTAATTTGTATGATGTTTCACAAAGCAGATTCGTTTTACATTCAGCAGTTCATACACATTTTGTTTTGTGACACTGGTTATATTCCTCACAGTGTAACAGCTCTCCTCCCACTTCCTCTCTGTGGTTACCCTTTCTCTATGTCCTTCTTGCCTATGCACTCCTGCCTCCCTACCTTTCTCCCTGTGCAAATGCTGCCCTTCTGATCTCCCATGGTTGATCGTTCCAAGGAGTGCATCTCCCTGGTGGAGGTGTTCAGCTCATAGGCCCATCTATTGTTTGACTGAGAATTAAGCAATAAGACTAGCTGATTTTTTGGAAGTAGACGACCAGGCCTTTATTCTGAACTCAAATCTCCAACCTGTTTACTAGCAGCCCAGAGCATTAACTGTTTGCACCACCCAGGGAATCCATTTATATATAAAATTAAAACCAACTCCAACTCATAGCGACCTTAGAGGACAGGGCAGAACTGCCCCATAGGGTTTCCAAGACTGTAATCTTTACAGAAGCAGATTGCTTCATCTTTCTCCCACAGTCAAGGCTGGTGGGTTTGAAGCAGTGATGTTTCGGTCGGTAGCTGAGTGCTTAACCACTCTCGGGCTCCTTCTTCCTCCTGTTTATACAATGCTAGCATTTTCCACACTCTCTTTAGGGTTAGTTCTGCACCAGAAATCTTTTTTGTAGCATGGTATAGGTGTTCACAATTTACCTAACAGTCCCTGGCTGATGGGCATTTAGGCTGTTGCCAATCTCTTGTTTGTACAATCAACATTGTCTGTAGTAAACTACATTTACATCCAAGATTTCAGGATATTTAAAGAATGAACTACTAGAATAGGAACTGCTGGATTAAAGGGCATGTGCATATGTAATAAGGGTGGCTGCTGCCAAAAATGTCCCCCTTTACCAACTCCCACTGCCAGGTAATGACAGTGAGTTGAGAAGGTTTAGGGGAGAAACACATGTGAAATTTTCTTTCTTTCTTTCTGTCTCTGTCTGTCTGTCTATCTCAGACAAGAGGCTCCTCCCAAACAGTTCATGGGTGAGGAGAGGGGTGAGGCTTCACAGAGACCTACAGAGGCTGGTTGGCTGGAGTTGCAGAGCCACGCAGGATCTGGGTCTGTCCTCAGACACATGACTGGATGAACAACCAGCTTTCTGGATCTGCATCTTCCACCAATTAACCAAGTGGACTTGGAAAGAAACTTAGCCTCTGAGTTTCAGTTTCCCAATCTATAAAAGGGGTTGATAAGCCCTGCCTTGCTAAAAGTAAAGATGACTTGAAGCACTTACTGATAAAGATCAAAAACTGCGGCCTTCAGAATGCATTATACCTCAACATAAAGAAAACAAAAATCCTTACAACTGGACCAATAAGCAACATCACGATAAATGGAGAAAAGATTAAAGTTGTCAGGGATTTCATTTTACTTGGATCCACAATCAGCACTGGTGGAAGCAGTAGTCAAGAAATCAAATGACATATTGCATTGGGCATATGTGCTGCAAAAGACCTCCTTAAAGTGTTAAGAAGCAAAGATGTCTCTTAGAAGACTAAGGTGTACCTCACCCAAGCCATGGTATTTTCAATAGCCTCATACGCTTGTGAAAGCTGAAAGACCAAAGAATTGATATACTTGAATTGTGGTGTTGGTGAAGAATATTGAAAATACCACAGACTGCCAGAAGAATGAATAAATCTGTCCTGGAATAAGTGCAGCCAGAATGCTCCTTAGAAGCAAGAATGGCCTGACTTTGTCTCACCTACTTTGGTCATGTTTTCAGAAGAGACAAGTCCCCAGAGAAGTACGTCATGCTTAGTAGAGTGTCAGCAAAAAACGGGAGAACCCTCAACAAGATAGATTGACACTGTGACTGTAAGCATAGCGAGGGTTGTGAGGATGGTGCAGGACTGGGCAGTGTTTTGTTCTGTTGTATGTAGGGTTGCTATGAGTTGGAGCAGACTCAACCACACATAACAACAACAACAATCCTTTGAAGGGGTATCCCAAGGCTCAGATGCAAATGCCCTGGACACATGAGAAGAATGGCTACCGGCACTGGACCACATATTAAGCAGGGCTCCAGCCCTCGACGGGTTAAGTGCAGTTTCATGTGAGGGTCAGCTAACAGGCTGAGAAAGTGGTGAAGGAAACACAGGCAGGTCACCTGAGAAGGATGCTGAAACAGAAGCCTCAGGGTAGCCCCTGGTCGTGGCAGGGGTGAGGGGTGGAGAGGATGGGAGTCAGGCAGTGTTTGGGGGAAGAAACACAGAAGCCTCCCAGGCAACAAAAGAGATAAATGATATAAATTCCTCAGGACCTGACCACACGAGTCACCAGAGAAAAAAATTTTCAACGGCAGTTAATCCACATGACCCCAGGAACCTTTGCCATGTTATTTTTCAGGCTCAGCCTGAAGGATTTGGTGATTCTAGCCACTCCTCGGAAGGAAGGTTGGGCAATCCTACTTCCGTAGTGATACTGCCTCGGAAACCCAAGGAGGGGTCGCTATGAGTCGGGGCCGACTCGATGGCACATAACAACAACAACAACAACAGCAGCTCTTGGATTCTCTCTCCTTAGGACCAGTGTCCAGGAGGGTGGGTGCTGGAAAAACAGGTGAGTTCTCATTGCCCATGTCCAAATGGCTGTCAAAACAGGGACCTGATCTCATCTCACGGAGACACCATGCACAGAAGCATGGAGTGCTGCCAGATGCCATTCCCATCATCTCTGCAAAATGGACCATTGTTCTCATTGGCTGGATGTTTGGAAGTGGATTGCTTTTCTTCCTGGTCCATCATAGTCTGGAAGCTCTGTTGAAAACTGTTCAGCATCATAGCAACATGCACGTCTCCAAGGACAGATGGGTGGTGACTGTGCAGGAGGTCTATAAGCCAGAATCGAACAGGGTCAATGGAATTCATGGAAGCTGACAATCACACCACTGAACCACCACTGCTCCAACAAAAGAACAGTGGCCATTTACCAAGTGGTTGCTTGATGTTGGCCATTAAGCCAAGTGAGATGCAGTATATCACAGTGGTCAAGGGCACAAACTTGGATAAGACGGGTCTGAATCCTGGCTCTGCCACTTATGAACTGTGTGACCTTAAGTAAGGTACTTAACCTCTCTGTACCCTAGTTTCCTGATCTGTAAAATGAGGATCATATTTTAGGAGTTAGCTGTGAGGATTAAATTAATCTATGTAAAGCACTTAAGAAGCCCTAGTAGCTCAGTGGTTAAGCATTTGGCTGTTAACCAAAAAGTTGGTGGTTTGAACCCCCCAGTCTCTCTTTGGGAGAAAGATGAGGCAGTCTGCTTCATAGATTATAGCCTTAGAAACCCTACGGGGCTGTTGTTGTTATGTGCCGTCGAGTCAGCCCTAACTCATAGCGACCCCTCCTTGGTTTCCGAGGCAGTATCACTATGGAAGTAGATTGCTCCACCTTCCTTCCGAGGAGTGGGGCAGCTCTACTCTATTCTACAGGGTCACTATGAGTTGGAATAGACTTGACTGCAATGTTTTTTTTTTTTTTCGGGGTGGGGTGGGGGAGTGCAGGTAGAGTAAAACAGGACAGTACCCTGGCCCATAATAAGAACCTAGTGGCATACTGCCTAAGGCATTTGACTGCTAACCAGAAGACTGGCAATTCAAATTCGCCAGCCAGCCACTCCTCAGAAGGAAGACTGGGTAATCTACTTCCATAGACATATGCCTCAGAAACCCAAGGAGGGGTTCTCTATGAGTCAGATCCAACTTGACAGCAGTGAGTTTGGTTTGGAAATGTTAGCTGTTATTTACTCAAGGCCCTGAGTAAATAGATTGCTGTGGGCACAGTGCTACTGAAGCTGTATGGGGTGGCCTCCTGCCCAGGCTGTACCCTGGGGCTCAGGTTCTCTGGGGACCCAGCTCAGAGACTTCTCTCACCCTCTGGTGGACACAGAGGGAAGAGGCTGAGTGCAAATATTTGCCCAAGAGTGTGTTGGCTGGCTTCAGTGTATGAGAATGAAGGAAGAATACACATCCTCATCTTCCATGGAGTTTGTTCTCCAGCAGGAATCCTCTCAGGGTTCAGGTACTAGAAGGGTAAAGTTAAAGCAACTTTTGCCATGTTATTTTTCAGAAGTGTCATGATTTGAAAATGTATGGTGCAAAGATTTGGTTAGATGCTGCCAGAATTTCCTGTACTTTCTGAGGGCTTCCAACCACACCACACACCTATTCTCCCATAAAAGGAAGGGAGGTTAATGGCTGAAAACCAAAAAACTAAACCAGCTGCCATCAAGAGTAGAACCCCACTCATAGAGTTTTCAAGGTTGTGACCTTTCAGTAGCCAGGCCTATCTCCCAAGACATCTCTGGATGGGTTTGAACCACCAACCTTTCAGCTAATCAAACTCACTGCCACCAAGTCAATTCTGACTCATAGTGACCCCATTGGGATTCTGAGGCTGTAAATCTTTACAGAAGCACACTGCCTCATCTTTCTTCCACAGAACGGCTGGTGAGTTTGAACTACTGACCTTTTGGTTAGCAGCCAAATGCTTTAACAACTGCACCACCAGAGCTCATTTTGCAGCTAGTAGTCAAGGCTTTAACCATTTGTACCACCCAGGGGCTCCTTTTTGGCTGAAGTGGGTCCAGCATCTAGGTAATCTTTGAGTCTGATTTTGTTGATTGCTTTGTGTCTTAACAGTTGTGGTGTTTTTTTTGTGGATCTCATAAACTTTGATTGAATGTTAGACATCTTGAGCAGGACAGTAGAAGATACAGGCAAATAATTGTTATGCCTGGAAATGGGCACACCTTTCTTTCCTGAGGGCTTTTTGTTTTAGGGGTTGGAATCAATCTAGTCAGGAGCTAAAGTGATTTTGGGTTTTGTTGTTGCTATGGTTACCTTTAGTGCACCACTACCTTCAAATCCCTCTAGCTTTATGTTTTTCTTAGGATAGGGGTTTTGGCTGCTAGCTGAAAGGCTGGTCCACTCAGAGGCATCTCGGAAGACGATCCTGGGTATCTACTTCTGAAAAATCAGCCATTGAAAACCCTCTGGAGCACAGTACTACTCTGACCCACACGAGGGCACCGTGAACTGGAATTAACACGACTGGTAATGTGATAGAGGGGTTAGGCCACTTCTGACTGCATGGATGAGGCAAGGCCTCTTGCAAAGGTGACATTTAAGTTAAAATCTGAAAGACAAAAAAGAGGCAGTTGTATAAGAAAGCAGGAGGAAGTACATTTGAGGCAGAGGAATGGAGAGAAATCCTGTGCCATTAGAGAGGAGAGAGGGGGAGATGGTGAGAGAGCAGGGCCTGGACCTGTAGGAAATCTTGGTAAAGAGTTTAGATTTTATTCGGTGTGAAATGGAAATAGAGGAGTGTTTTAAAACAAGAGAGTGACTAGATGCAATTTACAATGGTAGAAGATCCTTCTTGCTGCTGGGTGCAGGTGGATGGGGGTGGGGCAGGTGTAGAAGTAGAGAGGAAAACCCATTAGAAGGCCACTGGATTGGAGATACATGACAAAGGTAGTAGTTAAAAGACTCATAAATGGATTGAATGGGCATATAGTGAGCAGGGCGTCCCTGGGTGGTGTCAACAGTTAAGTGCTTCTCTACAAACCAAAAGATTGGTGTCAGAAGAAAGGCCTAATGATCTACCTCACAGCCATGAAAAGTCTGTGTGGCGTACAGAGCTGCTCTGACACATATGTGGTCACCGTGAGTCAGAATGGACTTGGCAACTGGGTTTCTGGTTTACAGTAAGGGGAAGAGAGAAGTTGTGGCTGGAACAACTGCACGGTAGTGGTGTCATCAACTGCAACGAGGAGGGCAGGGAGGGGAGCTGATCTGGGCGTGGACACCCGGAATTCTGTTTGGCCATGGGAAGTGTGAGATGCCATGTGGTGATGGGCAGCTGGGCAGCCCAGGCCGGAACCAAGGGCGAGAATGGAGACACAAACCCAGGAAAGCAGCCAAGAATTGGTATTTAAAGCTCTGGGCTGGGATGAGGTCACCTGTAGAGAGCATTCAGAGAGAAGGGAGCCTTACCAGGACAGAGCTTGGGGGCACTCCAACTTTAGAGTCAAGCTTAAAAAGAGGAGCTAGCAGAAGTACGAGGGTGACAGAGACCAGGAGAGTTGGGGGGGTGGGCACAGAAACCTGAAGAAGCCAGTGGCCAACTGAGTGCAATCCCAATTAGAATAGAAATGACCACTGGATTTAGCAACTTGAAGGTCACGGGTGACCTTGAGCAGGATAGCCTTAGTGAAGGTGAGGGGGACCAGAGTGAACATTTTCACCTTTGTTCCTGTTCTCTGCAACCCTCTTTCTCCTGTGGACCCAGGTGCAGGTTAGGAACCTAGGAGTCATGCTGGAGTCCTCTCTCCCCTTTACTCCACAACCTCACACCCTCCAAGGCTCTCCTCAACTCTCTCTCGATTCCATCTCTGCTCGGCTGCTCCAATGGCTACAGCTTGGTTTAGGCCTCACCATAGCTCCTGTGGACTTAGCATAGTTCCTTGCAGTCTGCCCTTCTAGTCTCCACTCCCCAGTCTGCTTTCCACAGTGCCTGAGTGATAACTTTGAAACATACATCTGAGTATCCAGTACTCACTCAAATCTCCTCCAGGATGACAACAGCCAGACTCCATGCTGTGATATTCTGTCCTTTGCCTCATCTCTACCCTCGTCTCCCCTCCATCTGTCCCTATACTATGGTTTTAGACAACTACTTCTCCTTTTTACATGCTTCTCTGCCTCATCCTGCCCATTCCTCAGCTAAAGGGCCACCTCCTCAAATATCCTAAAGAGGTAAAAAGCAGGGCACGAACAGACATATGCACACCTATATTCATCGCAGCATAATTCACTATAGCAAAGAGATGGAAACAACCTAAATGCCCATCAACGGATGGATGGATAACCAAACTATGGTACATGCACGCAATGGAATACTATGCTACAATGAAGAACAATGAAAATATGAGAATCATCTCACAAGATGGATGAGCCTGGAGGACATTATGCTGAAAGAAATAAGTCAATCACAGAAGGACAAATACTGTATGAGCCCATTACTGTAAAAAGACAAAGAAGGGTTTGCTTAAGAAGGGAACTCACTTTGTAGGTTACCAGGGTGGGGAAGGAAGGGGAGGGATTAATTTTGGGCTAGTTGGGGGCCACATGCTGATATGGGTAAGGAGAGGGATGGTATAGAAAGAGTCTGTGACCACCATGATAACATTAGGAAAAGGGAGGACACCAAATTGTGCACATAAGATATAGATGACAGATGCTAATACCAACCAGTATATCCACAATACTGCATTACCATTAACACCAAACATTTGGCTACAGATAAACACATAAACATCTGAGAGAATCAGCTGGGGATCAGTGAATAGGATTGTACTCTAGACGAAGGATAGATTCAGCTGAGGCTAATCTTGAACAGATACCAGTGGTACAAAATACCTGCAATCCGTACAGAAACAACAGAAGACAGACATAGAGTAATCCCTCACAGACACCAAGACACTATGGGAGAGAGATCTAACAGATCTGCTGACTCAGGACCATAGTATTGGGGGCCATCAGACTCAACTGACACAACAAAATACATAAAAATTTTGTTCCTCATCCTACATTGGTGAGTAGCGACTGGAGTCTTAAAACGTTTCAAGCAGCCATTTAAGATGCAGCTAATGGTCTCCCATCATCGGAAGCAAAGAAGAGTGCAAAAAAACAAGGGCATTTGGAAACAAACAGCTCTGGGACATGATGGACCTCAAGACCGGAAGAACTAGATGGTGCCTGGCTACCAATGCCAACCACTCAGGAAAGGATCAAATCTGGAGATCCTGGATAGGGTGGGAGGAAAAACATGGAACACAATCCAAAAATATAATAATGACCAGAATTAGTGGTTGGATGGAGTCTGGTGAGACCCCCAATACTATGGCCCTAGGACACATTTTGGGCCTGGAATAAAACTCACTCCCAGGGGCTGGCTCTCAGCCCAATAGTAAACAAGAGGTACACACAGACCACTCAACCCAGGGTGACACACCCACATACTCTATGGAGATGCATCCCTTGGAGCAATCGACCACGGGGCACCAGAGGGGCATCATTCGTATGGTGGAAATGCAGGATACACAGGAGTGCATAACTATAAGGGGCATGGGGTTCGGGGGTGTTATTGGGCAGGGAGGGGAGGAGACTGGGTTAGGGTTGGGGATGGTAATTGAGGAGTGAAACTACATGTACACAAAATGTTGAATGTAAAACAAACTCTGCTCTGTAAACTTGCACCTAAAGCATAATAAAAAATAAAATTAAAATTTTTTAGAAGTGCCACCTCCTCCAGGAAGTCTTCCAGGATTGCTTGCTAGCCTTCTGGGCACCTGGCCATAGCCCGTGGCTACTCACCTGCTGCACAGGTTCAATGGTCAGCTCCATGTAGCGACTGATGGCTCCCATTGTCCTGAGTGACTTGCAGTTTGGTAGTGTGGTGAGAGGCATCCAATCTGAATTCTTTTATGTGGAGACAGGGAGACAGAAAAGAGAATTCTTAAAGCCAGCAGACATTTTCAAAACCCAGGATCCCATTTTCTTCAAAAGAACCCCCAAAGTATTTCCAAAGTATTTTGTCTATTCTTTTACACTTCACTTTCTGTTTCATATACAATGTCTTCTCTTTTCTTATAGCTTGTGACTTCCTCGAGGTCACAGTAAGTCTCCAAACTTTGCTACACAGTGGAATTACCTGGGGATCGTAAGAAAAAACAATCGATGTTTCCCCTCTGCCCCCTGACACTGTGATTTAATTGGTATGGGATGTGACCTGGAAACTGGATATTTTAAAACTGCCCAGATGATTCTAATGTGCAGCAGAATTTGGGGACCACTGTAGTAGGTGCAAGGAGCTCTAGTGGCATAGAGGTTAAGGCATTTGGCTGCTAACCAGAAGGCTGGTGGTTCAAACCCACCAGCTGTTCCATGGGAGGAAGATGAGGCAATCCACTTCTGTAAAGATTTACAGCATTGGAAACGCAATGGGGGTTGCTGTGAGTCGATATTGACTAGATGACAATGGGTTTGGTTTTGGGTAGTAGGTTCAGGAACTCTGGTGGTGCTGTGGTTAAACCATTGGGGTGCTAACCAAAAGGTTAGCATTCAAACCCACCAGCTGCTCTGTGGAAGAGAAGTGAAGTAGTCTGCTTCCATAAAGACTTATAGCTTGGAAACCCTATGGGGCAGTTGGAATTGACTCGATGGCAGTGGGTTTAGTTTTTGGTTTTAGTAGTAGGTGCTAAATGCATTCTTATAAAGCAGTTATGGTGGTTAAGTTTGTGTGTCAACTTGGCTGGGCCTGGTTGAGTGGCTGGGAAGCTGGTGGTAGTTATTCCCCATGGTGAGATTGGTAATTAACTACATGGTGGAATCTATTGGAGCAGCTGAGTAGCTGCTTTGGGCATGTGGTCTGCTTCCTGTATATAAGAAACAGCTTTGGGAATGGTCTATAGCCTATGGCATACTTGAACCCTGCATGTACCTGTGTCATTATTCAGCGGCATGCTATCCTCTGCTGACCTTGGCACTTTCAATGGACTTGAATTAATGGCTTGCTGTGTGGTTTGATAACATCAGGACTGTGCCTTGTTACTTGTTAACCTTGGGCTTGTCAGTCTCAGCAGCCAGCAGCTAAGTGAAGAAAAACCTCCAGCTTCAGTGGGCCAGGAGCAGGAGGCAAAGCTAAAGCCTAAGGTCGAGGGGCTTTTACCAGGCCCTAGAGCCTGGCACTTTGAACTAAGACTTAAAGCCTCCAAATTGTTAGAGAATAAACTCTTATTTGTTTAAGCCATGCCATTCCTGTCAGAGCAGCAGTAGGTAACCAGAACTGTGGTGTTTCTCCAACTTTAGTGTGCACCCACTAGCATCCAGTGGGCTTGTTAAAACAGATTGCTGGACCCCACCTTCACTTTCTGGTGAGGTTTTATCATTTTCATTTCTAAGAAGTTCTCAGTTGGTGCAGGATGGGGACCACACTTTGAGAACCATTGCTGTAAAGGATTACTGAAGAGACTCCAAAGGCATTTACTTCCTCCCTTCAGAATGCTAAGACATACAGAGCTCTCTTTAAATATTTTAGCTCCTTTTTTGGGATATCATTTTATAACAGTTACTAGAATGGAATAAACATCATCTCACTTTAGTCTTCATGGGAACTTGGATATCTGGTCCAAAACATCCAAAACCAAACCCACTGCCATCGAGTTGATTCCAGCTCATAGTGCCCCTATAGGGCATCATAGAATTCCCCCATTGGGTTTTCAAGGCTGTAAATTTTTATGGGGAGCTCTGGTAGTGTAGTGCCTAAGGCACTTGATTGCTAATCAGAAGGCTGGCAGTTCAAACCCACCAGCCACTCCTCGGAAGGAAGACAGGGCAATCTACTTCCGTAGTGATACTGCCTTGGAAACCCAAGGAGGGGTAGCTATGAGTTGTGTCCAACTCCACGGCACATAACAACAACAACAAATCTTTACGGAAGCAGATTGCCTCATCTTTCTTCCACAGAGCAGCTGGTGGGTTTGAACCACCCACCTTTTGATTAGCAGCTGAATGCTTTAACCACTATGCCCACAGATCCTTCTTTGGTCCAATCATCTATGTGAATCACTTTTGCCTTTGTCGTAGGAAGTAGCTTATATGCTACTATCTTCCACTTCACTAACTCAAACTCCACAATCTGTTTACACTGTTAGTCTTAGGACATTGATGAGCGATTTTCTTTTTTATCTGTGAAAATGCCGGCATATCTTCCTCTCCAGCCTGTGAGCCTGGTTCATATGCAGTGAGCCTCATTCCCACTCTGTGCTAGGGATCTAAGGGAGAGAGGAGCCTGGGTAACAGGTGAGACTCACCCCTCCACACTACCAAATATCTTAGAAAAGAGACAGTCACCTATGGTCAAGTCCTTGTAAGATGTCTGTTATGACGTACGTACTCAATTATTTTGAACCAAGAACTTTTTGATGACGAAAAATTACCTCAATCAGAATGAGTTCTGGCTACTTACAGAGGTCACCTGATTAAATCATTAAAAGAAAGACAAACATATTTACCCCAGACACATGAACTATGACTGGTGGTATGACCTCGTAATTGTACATGTTGGCTGTTATTGCAAAGAACACTTTTAAAGATAAACTTTTTTAGCAATATTCCCTAAAAAAGAAAAACCAAACCCATAGCCATTGAGTCAATTCCAACTCATCATGACCCTCTATTGAGTTTCCCAGGCTGTAAATCTTTATGGAAGTAGGTTGCCTCATCTTCCTCCCATTGAGTAGCTGATGGATTTGAACAACTGACCTTCTGGTTAGCAGCCAAATGCCTTAATCACTATGCCACTACAGATCCTTTTTTAGCAATATAGGATACAAAAGTAATACTGAATGATAAAACTGAAAGGGGAAACAACTAAGATAGCAATGAAGCAAGCTGTTATACTGTAGTGATCACAAATGGCAAATGGGTGCTTGTGACTTGAGAAGAATTTCCAGAAACAGCATCACACACAGATTCACAAAACACTGCACCAAACAGCACACCGTGAAGATGCTGCTCCTGGGAAACTGTGTTAGGTGGAGGTGAGGATGCATGTGAGAGTCGGAATAAGGATCTTTCATGAAAAAAAGTTTGAGAAAAATCACGTGTTCCTTGTTGTTAGGCACCGTCGAGTCATTTCTGACTCATAATGACCCCACGCACAGCAGAACAAAACACTGCCTGATCCTGTGCCAGCTCCATGATCCCGGCTATACTTGAGCTCATCATCACAGCCAACATGTTCCTTAATGACTATATTAATTTATGTAGTTGACTGCTAACCAGAAGGCTGGTGGTTCAAACCCACCAGCTACTCCTTAGAAGGAAGGTTGGGCAATCTACTTCCGTAGTGATACTGCCTCGGAAACCCAAGGAGGGGTCACTATGAGTCGGATCCGACTCAAAAGCAGTTAATTTTGTTTTGTTTTTTTTGTATAATCATGAGTAATTGAATTACAAAATAGCATTTGACTACTTAATTGATATCACTAAACAAACACAAAAAATGCAATTACTGTGGAGTCAATTCTGACTCATGGTGACCCCATGTGTATCAGAGTAGAACTGTGCTCCAAAGAGTTTTCAATGGCTGATTTTTCAGAAATCACCAGGCCTTTCTTCAGAGGAGCCCCTGGGTGAACTCAAACCTCCAACCTTTTGGTTAGCAGCCAAGCATGCTAACTGTTTGCACCACCCAGACTCTACTGACATCACGAAGTTTATTAAGTGATCAAAAATATTTTGGGTAAAAATCTTGTAACTGACTCAGCAGTATCTCAACTTTGGTCATAACAGTTTTTTTAAGGTGACCCACTGGTCAAGTGTGAAGGGAATCCCAGGATTCTGAAACCCCTGCCCCTCCTCAAGCCTGTTACTCTGTCCACTACATGTCAGTAAACACTTTGGTGAGGCCAGACGATTCCAGCCGGTGAGACCTTGTCCTCACTCTGCACCTCCTGGCTTTCTTCCTCATCTTTCTCTGCACAGGTCAGAAGAGCTTCGGTGTCAGGGCACTCTCTGGCTTCAGTGGCAAGTCCTAAGACCTGCCTCAGCTTGCTCTTCATCACACAGGAAAGGAAAATGATCTGAGATGGTGGACGTTAAGGTGCATGGAAGCAGAGCACTTTCAGCCACCCAGTCCTGCCCCCACCTCTCCACCCCGTGTGCCACCTGGAGTCCAAGTCACCAGCCAGTCCCACTCTGCCCATTCTACTAGAGGCCCTTAGCGTGCCCCATATTCACCTGCATTGACCTGACCCCCAGAACAGACATGAGCTCATTTGAGGCAGGGCCTGGTCTCACTCTATATTCCTGTCCTCTACAATGGCCTAGCACCCAGGAAGACCTTGCCCCTCAGAGACACTTGGTAAATACTTACTAAATAAAGAAAAACATCTTACTTGAAGGGTCTAGGTTACACAGACAGTCCATGAGAACATCAGTCTCAGGACTATGTGAAATCCACAGGCTATTCACACTCCACTCCCACTCTCTCCAAGAGCACAGCAGAGACACTGCCCACTGTCAGCATTTCTAGTGATCCCACCAACCCACGCACCATCTGGACTTAGCTTGCCCTTGAAGCTCTCATCCCAAGATCACTAGGTACCAGGGACACCTGCTGGGGGCCAGCGGGATGCTCAGTGATCACAGCTGAGGAGCAGCACTTATCAGTTTTTATTTCAGCTTCTCCAACCCAAGCTCCATTCTAAGAGAACAGAGAGGGAATCATTACCCCCACGGGGTAGGTCAGTCTGCAAAACCCTTTCCCAGCCTTGTGAGAAAAGCAAGCAAAGAAGAGAAAATAAGGCTCACAGGAGGGCAGGGACCTACTCAGGGTGAGATGTTCAGGTAGGGAGTAGAACTGGGGCTTGAACCAGTCCTTTTATCCCAGGCCAGGAACTTTCCCATGCATCTTCACTATCTCAGAGACCACTGTGGTACTTAAATTTGTATGTCAACTTGGCTGGGCCTGGTTGAGTGGTTGGGCAGCTGGTGGTGGTTATTCCCTATGATGAGACTGGCAATCAACTCCATGGTGGGATCTACCACAAGCAGCTGAATAGCTGTCTTTGGGATGTGGTCTGCTTCCTGTATATAAAGAGAAGCCTTGGGGGTAGTCTCTACCTTATGGCACTCTTGGACCCTACATGTAGCTGTGTCATTGTTCAGTAGCCTGCCATGCTCGGCCGACCTTGGGACTTACAATTGACTTGAATTAATGGCCTGCCGTGTAGTTTGGTAACATCACGACTGTGCCATTTTATTTGTTTACCTCTGGCTTGTTAGCCTCAGCAGCCAGTAGCTGCCTGAGTGAAGGGATGCCTCTAGCTTCAGTGGGCTGGGAGTAAGAGGCAGAGCTGAAGCCCAAGGTTGAGGGGCTTTCACACAGCCCCTAGAACCTGGCACTTTGAACTTGGACTTAAAAACTCCAAACTATGAGAGAATAAACTCCTGTTTGTTGATGCCATCCCATTTGTGGTATATTCTTGTCAGAGTGGCACTAGGTAACCAAAGCAACCACCAACACCAAACCAAACTCACTGCCATCAAATCAATTCTGACTCAGAGCAATCCCCATTGTATTTCTAAAGCCACAAATCTTTATGAAAGCAGACCACCTCATCTTTCTTTTGCAGAGTGGCTGTTAGGTCCAAACCACCTACCTTTTGGTTAACAGCCAAATAAATGTCTTAACCACTATACCTCCAGAGCTCCTTCAGAGACCAGCAGCCAGGAGATAATTTCTTCTTATTTTTTTTTAAAAGTAAAACTGCAAATAACTGCACAATGTCTGCTTGCCCCAAGCTTCAGGCTAGAGTTCCATCTAGCTGGCCATGACAGGGCAGGGAGTTGAGAGAGACAGAGGCTTCCTTGGCAGCAGGTCAACAAGCCCCTGGGGTGGATACAGCCAGGTCCAGTGCAGCACGACCAAGGGAGATCAGGAACCAGGGTGTAGCCTGCAGCAGGTACTCAGGCCGCTGGTCGTGGGCCACGATGGCTGAGGCATAGAGGAGGCTAGCCAGGACTGACAGGAGCCGTATCCATAGGTGGAGGGAGGGAAACGTCTTACCTTGGCACTGGGAACACAGAGAAAGGGCTCAGCGGCATGGAAAACTGCCATCCCCCTTGCTTCCTCAAGCTGGATTCTGAGACCCAGGGTCCTGGTGGCATGATGGGTGTGGGTGGGGCAAGCCCTCTGTCCATAGTCTGTCCCTAAGGACACTGTTCTGTCAGGCTTCCAGCTGTTGCTGAAGCTGCTTCCTCAACCTGTTGTTATGGGTTGAACTGTGTCCCCTCCAACAACATATGGTGAAGTCCTAATCCCTAGGACCTGTGAATGTGACCTTATTTGGAAATAAGGTCTTCACAATGCAATTAGGTCACATGGGGTCAAACTGGAGTAGGGTGGGCCCTCATCAAAGATGACTGGTGTCCTCATAAGAAGAGCAGACACAGGTAGTCACAGAGGGAAGACATGAGGTAGAGACTGGTGTAAAGACTGAGGCACTGGTGTTATGCTGTCATAACATAAGAGACACCTTCCTGAAAGCCTTCAGAGACAGCATGGCTTTGCTATACCCTGTGTGGGAACTTCTAGCCTCTAGAACTGAGACAATATATTTCTGTTGTCTTAAGCCACCCACTTTGTGGTAATTTCTTACAGCAGCCCTAGGAAACAAACACACCTAGTGGACTCCTACTCATACCTCAGAACCAACCTGGCTTAAACTTGACTCTGGGAATCTCCTCTCAACACTTTAACCCTAAGGGAAGTGAATGACTCCCTTGTTTGGGCCCCATCACACCTTACACAGCCCTCTGGTGAAGCACCTTTCACCCTGACTGACTTAGCTCCTTACACATCTGTCTGCTCAGCAGACAGAGGGTTCCTGAGAGCAGGGCCGAATCCCACCACCTTACCATCTCAGTGCTTCTGACACCTGGTGCCAGGCAGGGGCTCATGAGGGAGGGAAATGATAGAGGGAAACAAAGGATGACTGAATTATGAGGAGCCAGGGCCTGATCCTTCTCTTCCTGTGACCACCAATTCAGAACCAGGCCAGACAGAGAAGGCCAGGAAGATTAGAGATCATACTGCGGAATTCTGGAAGCAATGGGGATAGCTTGGGGGAATGAGTGATGGAAAGTGTGGTAAAAAGAAAATGAAACACATGCAACATTTATGCGTTAAGTACTCTTTACAGGTATACCAGTTGCCTTGGAGTCAATTCTGACTCTAGTGAACTAATGTCTGTCAGAGTAGAACTGTGTTCCATAGGATTCCCAATGGCTAATTTTTCAGAAGTAGATTGCCGGGTCTTTCTTCTGAAGCCCCTCTGGGTAGACCTGAACCTTTCACATTTTGTTATTAGCTGAATGTGTGTACCACCTAGGGACTGTTTACACAGGTAAAGAGGCACTTTATATACATTTATATTTTTGTTGTTGTTAGTTGCCACCCAGTCGATTCCAACTCATGGCGACTCCACGTGTGCAGAGAAGAACTGCACCATTGCGTTTTCAAGGCTTTCTAAAAGCAGAATGTGAGGCCTTACTTCTGAAGCATGTCTAGGGGGGTTTGAACTGCCAGCCCGTCAGTTAGTAGGCCAGTGCTTAACCATTTGCACCACCCACGGACTCCTATTCAGTGATGTGTATGTACATAAATATTATATATTTCCAACTATACATAATTGTATAACATATAGGTACCTGGATGGTACAAACGGTTTGCCATTTTCTGCCTCCAACCTAAAGGTTGGCAGATTGAACCCACTCAGTGATGCCATAAAAGAAAGCCTTGGTGATCTGCTTCTGTGAAGAATATAGCCAAGAAAACCCTCCAGAACAGTTCTACTGTATACCATTTGTTATCCTTATCTGTCGGAATTGACCTGATGGCAACAAGTTTGTAATTTTTTAATATAATATATATTTCAATTAATTTCAGACTAAGACAAACTAGAAAAAAGGATATGGTGCTATGCCTCTGAAAAAAAAAATGGCCACTCAAAACATTATGAATAGCCACAGAACACTGATACAGTGCTGGGAGATGAGCATCACAGGTTGGAAGGCACTCAAAATACAATGGGCATAGATGGCATAGATGGAGCAAAGCTTCCAGGACCTTCATTTGCTGAGGTGGCATGACTCAAAATGAGAAGAAACAGCTGCAAATATCCATTAATAATCAGAACATGGAATGTAAAAACTATAAATCCACTACTGCATTGTCAGTGAAGGCAAACAGGTGGATAGATGGGTGGACAGGCTGAACTAGCAGGTATGTCTATGAAGCAGGGAGTTACCCAAGAACATGTACAGGGTTGGCAGACAATGGTCCTATAAGTTTATGTGTATGATCTGAATTCTCAGGTGTATAGTAGAGCTGACAAGGGGCAAGGTTGTAGTCACTGCTTGGTCATAAGCTATGTGACCATTATGGTCCATCTGGGACCGAGTAGTTGAACCTGTGAGCTTGGGACCATGGTTGCAGGGGACATCAAGCTCAATTGGCATAACATACTATACAAAACATTGTTCCACCTCCTACTTTGGCGAGTAGTGACTG